TAGTCCTCTAGTCCTCTAGTGCTCTAGCCCTCTAGTCCTCTAGTCCTCTAGTGCTCTAGCCCTCTAGTCCTCTAGTCCTCTAGTCCTCTAGTACTCTAGTCCTCTAGTCCTCTAGTGCTCTAGCCCTCTAGTCCTCTAGTCCTCTAGTCCTCTAGTACTCTAGCCCTCTAGTCCTCTAGTGCTCTAGCCCTCTAGTCCTCTAGCCCTCTAGTCCTCTAGTACTCTAGCCCTCTAGACTCTGCTAATGTATTAACAAAGTAATGCCAGAAAGGGGACACAAGATACTGTTTTTAGTGCTGTGTTAGTGAATGTACTATGTAACCCCTTTTTAAGTTTAATGTACCATTATTATTCTAGTCCATTGATTTTAGGAAGAAATGTATTTTAGTAAAAAATGAAAATATATTTTTAAACATGTATTCAGTATTATCAGTATCATTTATCCTTCAATGGTTCCAATTTGATCATCCTTCATTCATCCTTTATTTATTCTTTTTTCATCTTTCATTTATCCTTTATTTATCCTTCATTCATCCTTCATTCATCCCTCATTCATCCATGATCATCTTTCTTTCATCCTACCAATCCTATCCATCCTGTTGGCCGGATCCTTGAGTTTCCTTTATTAATCCTTCATTTATCCATCATTCATTCACCATTCATTCTTCATTTATCCTTTATTTATCCTTCATTTTTAAAACCTTATTTATTCATCCATCATTAGTTCCAATTTGACACCGTAAAAATAAACGCTTGAAAATTTCATGAATGAAACACAGAATGAAACGTGTGGCCAATTTGGTGCCCAAGGTACCTTCCTGAATTTGAAATTTGAAACAAAGTACGCACATGGCCGTGGACATGGGTACCGTTCCAGTTAAACCTGATTTAGTCACACTTTGAACATGTAAAACTTAGCGTACTCATTTGCTTGGGTCAGGCCAGACTGTTAACAAACGTAACAAACACTCAACTAATTTTTTCTAACAAACTTTTTTAAAAACTGTCGTGTTATTTACTCAAACAATTTGTTGACGAACTTTTGCAAAAACTATCGTTTTTATTAAGCAAACGATTCTTTTATTTATTTTTATTAAATGAAAACTTTAAATTAAAAAGTTAGAAAATGAACGAAATGAGAAATAAAATAATTTAATAAATAATATAAATTATAAATTCTCAACGATTGAAGAAAAACGAATAAAACATGTCGTTAACGAATGAATTTAAAAAAAGCCGAATTTGCCCATCTCTACTCGAACATCTTTAGTGAGAACTTTTTACCTGCCCGGCTTGTTACCCCCTCCCCCTCTCCTTTATAAATATTAAAATATTCTCCCAATGGCACAAATCAAATTTCAATCCTGAAATCATGCAATGCACCATGATTATATTTTCAGGCTAAAACACGACACTGTAAAACAATAAAAATACTATGGAACCGACATCAATATCTAAAGGGTGTGTCTAAAATTAATCCAATTTTCTATATATTTAAAACCCTCCAATTTTGTAAATGTAACAACATTTTTGCTTTTGCTCTACAGTATTAAACATTTTAAAAATTTGAAAGAAAAAAATCAACTAATTGAATATCATTCACCTACCCCTAATTATTTAAATCTTTCATTATTTTATAAAAACAAATAACAATTTAAAATAAATGTTATTTATTGACTTTATTTTAATGAGGTTTCTCATTCATTATTGGCCATTCAAAGTGTTACTGATGTGAATTGCACATTCTTTTCTGTAAATGATGGGTGTCCTGAATTAACGTGATCAGTCCCTTTAAATATTAATATTGCAGTAGTTTGGTTTTATTCTTTAGTTAGTTTCAAGTCAGCCAAGTTTCTCATCAAAATAATGGCATTTTTAGACAAGGGGAAAACACCAATACAAATGATTTTGCGTAAATCTTGAAATAATTTATAAGATGTCGTTTTCTAAACCTTTTAAACTGTTCCCGCATGACTATATATTTATATAAGTACAGAGATTTAGATATAAAACTCATAGAACAATTGTCAAGACGACATTTATACATTCTTTTGATGTTTCTGAAGTTTTCGGTTAATCTGTGGTCTCTTCAAAGTGTTAAAGAACTATGAATGTTTAAAAACTGAATGCATGAACATCTGTGCCTTCTGATTGACGTGAGCTACTGACGATGAATAGCTTAACAAAATATGGAAGAAAACATTTCATACTATTCATCAACTGTCATGTTTCGTGGAACACCCTGTAGTTTTCATAAATGTTAAAGGAATCTGTTTGAAAACTGTTTGTTCTATTTAATTTGAGATTTAACCTTGTCAGTTCCTTGAAACATTTATTTTGGAAGTTTATTTTCATCGGCTTGTAGGAATCCGAACTTGAGTGTTTTCTAAAATAGTTTTTAATCTATTTATTTAATGGAAATGCTGTTGCGAGCCATCAATACTGTGGTGTGCACATTTCAGAAGGAGGGAGGGGAGGTTTATACCCTGCAAACATTCAATATCAGACTTGCCTATTCGAACATAAAAACTCCAGAATTATTTACCCGAAATATCGGCAATCGGGACGCAACAACAACAGTCGGTTTAAATGTTTTCTGGGTAACTAAAGGACTGGTCAACAAACGGTTTTTTTAAATTGAGGAAAGAGAAAATATGTGTTTTTTACATAAAAAGTCTAGAATTATTTACCCGACATATCGGCAATCGGGACGCAACAAAAAATCTGTGTTTTATTTTACGTGTTTTATCAAATGTTGTCTTTCGATTTTCCCTGCGTTTTCATTGTTAACGTCTAATTAGCGACGGGTGTCGTTAACGATTTCTAAATTATCTTCCCTTAACGTCGCTAATGAGATTTAAATCGTTAACAGAAGTATACGTGTAAAACGAAATCTATCAACCGTCAACTGAACGCACGTTTAATTGTTAAGGATATCTGAAAAGTTGATATTTTGAACGATTTTATTTAATCTTTAAAATAAATGGGTTGAACAAAGTCTGAACGTGCTGAGCTCTAGACTATGAAACCCAACCATCAAAAATATTGCCTCCACCCTTTGGCTAGCCCCAGCTCTCCGTCAAGAAAATGTGGCTCTCCTATTCCAGCATAATCCAAATTATTGGCATTTTGAATTTTGTTGTGCGTAATATTTGTCGTCTTTAGTCAATTAGATTCAGATACTAGCTACAAACTTATACTGGGACAGGGGTGAGCAAATATTTGAAAATTCTCTTTACTTTTTAGGCTGTGTGGTGTATATTTCGAGAAAAAAATATGAACAAACCTTTTTTTGACTGAAACCAGATTTTCATGCGTGAAAAAGTCCTTAAATAGATTTTTTCTTGAAGCAAATAGTTTTTGAAATGAAATTTTACAATTTGACACCTCTTATTTTCGAAAATTACTGTTTTTATTGACAATTTGAGTTTTGCAATTTTTTTTGTTTTGGACTAAAAATATGAATTTCGTAGTACCAAATACCCCTTATTCGAATTTTTATTTTTTTACCATATGAAAAGTCTTTCATATTTTGTTTACTTTTTGGCATTCTATTCCAGTGTACAAGGGTAGGATTAATTTTACGTTTATACCTTAGTTTGTAAAGGGTTAAGGTCTGGTCATTATATATGACATTTTTTACGGATCTGGTTAATAGGGGTAATCTGAGTTATTTACTCCGATTAACAATTTTGAATTGAAACAAATCGCTCGTTAATAATTGTTCAGGGTTATAATATATATCTTCTTTTATTGTTGATTTATTTCATACAAGCAAAATTCTGAAGAATATCTCAGATTATTTTGGAACCTTCTGAAAGTGAAAACCACATAAATAATAAAAAACCTTGGATGAATATTTTTGTGTTTTCTGATCAGTTTGAGAGTTACGAGGAATATTTGGATAGTTTTATTAGTGAAGAAGATTACAGGTAACAAAATACAAAAACTCGAAATATTTAAACTTTTGCATATTTACTAATTGATGTTTTTTTTTCATTTTTTTCATAGTTTAACGTATTTAATTAAGTTAATTCCTTTTTTAAAGTTGGTAAGAGGATCAAGCCAATGAGAGATTTATTTGCAGGAAACATTGAACAATTTAAACCTACAAATATTTTATTTCGATCAATGAAAAATGGCAAATATCCTTTGTTACAAGGATCAAGCCACCGCTTCAAATTTAAAGTTTCTGCTTTTGAGTTCAAGCTCCATCGATTAGCGCTATCTAGGAAAAAAGTTAAGTCTTTCATATCTTTTTTTAGATATCTTGGAGAGGTGGAGTTTGCAAGAATTTTAGTAGAACTTGGATACAGGTTTGACCAAACTATTAAACATTTGCATTTTATCAGACGAAAGAATTAGTTGCATTTTATGCACTTTGCGCATGGAATATAATTCAATTTAAGAGTCTGGCTCTTTTAGAAACTGCACAGTGCACACGTTATTTATTATAGCCTTCTTTTTAAACTGGCATATTTGATTCACAACAGTATCCTCTCCATATCGCACACCTCTGCCCCTTTAGTAAAAGTAAATTCAACCTATATGAAGCATAAGGTCAGACCGCGTCAACCTTGTTGCACTGGTTAGTCCTGTCCATAGAGCTAGGTACAGAAAAAACTGGTACCGGAAAGTTTGACCCGGCTCGGAAATTCAAATGTAATGAAGTCTCATATTTGAAAAAAAACAGTAAACATTAACTTTAAATGCCAAATGTTCGAAGTGGCCACCATATTTAACGATGATGCATGTGCACTGATTTTGGGAAAAATGATAATTTGAAACTATCGAACTCTTGTCTCCATGAGGATGTATAATAAGATAGATTACTCTCTATACGCTCCAATGTACGGAAAATGTCGTCTCATAAGATAGATAGATAAAAACCACAAATGACGTCACACTCGCCTCTATAATCAGAGACATCATATGAGGATTTTATCTATCTATCTTAGGAGTCGACATTTTCCGTACATTGGAGCGCATCGCGCGAGAGTAACCCTCCTTATTATACAACCTTGCTCCAGATGGAGTTGGAATTGTGAAATAGTAATTGTTTTTACATAAATTATAATGTTATATAGTAAAGGATAGAAGAAAACTGAATTTTCGAATTTAAAATAAATTTTAGTGGATTTCTGAAGTCAGCCTTTGTTTCATTAGTACTTGATCATACTGTACTGTACTGTATACTGTTTTCTTGTTTGTTATTTTACCATCAAGTTTGTATTATTTATTTCCAGAGATGAGATTTTAAAAGCTTAAACCCGAGTGAAACCCAGAGTTTGTCTCAGATAGAACCCTAGTTAGGATTAGCTCTGATTCGACCAATTAGAGACTGCTGAGAAAGCTTTCTCTCTGTAGCAGACAGATTGCTAGCAGATCAGCTGTGCAAAAGAGATGTAAATTTCGAAAATTCGAACTTTGCGTAGATTCATTATTTGCATAGTATGTTTAATTCAAACCTTTGATCAAATTTGACACTACAAATAATTCCCGAGATTTTAAATGTAAAAATGTAAAAGTATTTTCGAAATTTATGAAAACCCAAGCCTTGAAGAGAGAAAAACCCAAGGTGGTTGGTTTTTACTAAACTCAAAGCCATCCAAAACCCGGGTCTTCACTTGAGCTTTACTTGGGTCTAAGCAGACGCAAAGGCCTGGTTTTACTTGGGTTTAAGCTTTTAGAATCTCATCTTAGGTGTTTTACAAACCTGTTTCACAGTCGTATCATTCTTTTAATGATTTTAATGTTAAACAAGATTTGATTACTGATCTTTCTCTGGGAAAATTTATTTGAATAATTGTTCCAATATCTTAGATTGAACAATTAGAAATATTATGATCGAATGACAGTTAAATTTTTAGTTATAAGAATGTCAATGCAGACTTTTAAGTTTTTTATCATATAATATTTAAAATAAACTAGCTGAAGGGCCCGGCGAAAAAAAAATTTAAAATTTTATTTTTAAAACAATATTTTGAATTTTTTAACCTAAAACACCTATGAGTGTCCACAAAAAATGTCAGCCCAATAGGTCCAGCCGTTTGGCCGGCTATAAGCAACATATATATATATAAGAATGTCTTGTTTTATAAAAAAGACTAGAAACTTAATTTTTATAAAATATTTAGTATAAAATACATGTAGATTATTTAATATTTATAATGAACTAGAAATATAGATTATAAAATATTGATTATAAACTACATCTAGATTATATAATATTTATAATAAACTAGAAACATGGATTATAAAATATTTATCATAAACTACATGTAGATAATATAATTAGGATGCATAACTTCCCAAAATCAAAAAGTAGGGGAAAAAAGTGTCCTTTAATTGAACCATAATTATTCTTTATACCAAAGCAAAATTGAGTACCATTCTGTTTCAATTATTAATTTCTTTTCTGTAAAATACCATTTAAATATTTGGAATTTTTTTTTATGACAAAATTTTTTTTTTTTTTTTTTCTTGAATATTGCCAAAATGTAAAAAAAATGCCGTGGATAGAATGTTAAGAATTTTTTTATTTTTCCATCTTTTTTTTTGGTTTAAGAATAAAAATATGTAGTAGGATTATACCACTCTCTCTTATATTTGATGCTTGATCCGATGTATTAACTTTTAATTAGTTTTGTGTAAAACAAAAAAAATAACAAACAGAAAATTTGTTAGCAAATTGTAGAATAAAAATAAGTCAGGAATTGAGTGGTTGCAAAAAACTCAACTTGTCTAATCCTTATATCTGAAAATTGATGGTGTAACCTTTTTTTTTTGAAACCTATTTTTTAATCTAACTTAAATATTTATAGTTTGAAATATCTAAGGTCTGCGACATTGGGTTGCAAAAAAGGGAATTAGAATATGCTTTTTAAAGCACTAGGCTTTTAAGGCGCTTCGCGCCCATCTTCTTTTTTAACTTTTGATTGTGGCTTTATCGGTGAGCATCTTATTCTTCTCTTTGTAAAGTATAAAACAAAAACCAAAAAAGTTTGCGGATTTCTTAATATTTTTTTGCACATAATCAAAATTTTACTAAAATAAAAAACTTAAACACAAATTTTTTAATTCTGATTATTCATAAACCTTCCGGCCTAGTCACGTGAGGTCCCACAAAAATTTGGCCCCGATCGGTTCAGCCGTTTTGACGTTTGACGTTTATACAAACAAACAGACAGACAAGCTAAATTTATATATAGATTAATACATTCATTAAACATGACTGTGATATTGGAAATTATATAAATTAAATTGAAATCTTCTACTTATTTTATGATTGGATCCTTCTCATATATTAACAGCATAATACTGTTTAAAGTTGTAACATTTATTGATTTTTTCAATGTTAGAAGTTTAATAAGTCCCAATAAACATGTAAATAAAGAACGAATCAGTAAGCTCAGATTTCACTTTGAATTTTTCCCTCTGTTTTGAGAATCAGACGACCTAAGGAAAAGCAAAAAGTTTTATCATTAATATGAACTCAACGGCTTCTAAAAATTATCAAATACAGTTATATTCTTAAAGAAGCGAAATGACTTAACCGATCTTGAAAGTCGTCTTTGACCTATGAAAAAGTTTGCAGCTTAATTTGGAATCAATATTTTAGAAATATTCATAATCCTAAAATAAACCAAGTCCTGCCATTTCCAAAATGCAGTCTGCCTTTTCATGCAGATACATGTCTGATATGTACTCCAGTTGTACAAAACGTACACTACAGCTAAGGAAATACATGTCTGATATGTACTCCAGTTGTACAAAACGGACACTGCTGTGGAAATAGCACGTGGCATTTATTTGGGTTTCAATAGATTTCTGTACTCTCTTCTCTTTAGATTAAGCTACAGGGTGTCCAACGAATCATGTCAGTTTGGGAATATTTTTAAATTTCTTCTTCCATAATTTTTTAAGTTGTTTTATAACAAAGAGAATAATAAAAAATGTTATATACAGTCATATTAAAGTAATATTAATTTCAAAGTAAACATTTTTAACTAAATAAACTGCAAGAAGTCTTTAATATATAATACAGTATGGGGAAGAAGACATTCTAAACTATTCACCAACTGTCATGTTTTGTGGGACACCCTGTATTTGAACTTTTTATACATTTTGTTATAATATCATTTCTGTTGCAGATCCTCGGGGACCCTCAGGTTATCTTTTTAAATTAGAAATATGAACTTTATTTATCTATTTCATTTATAAAATCTACTTATTTTTAATAAAGAGACAAAAACTGAAGAAAAAATCTTTATTTACGCCAAATAGAGGTATACCGTAAAATGTCCTCTTACTACTAAACTACAGTGCATCCCAAAATATATGGATATATAGAAGAAGTTTCTTATAATGTCGTATTTTCAACATATTTAAGATCAAATGCCGCGGAATAACGAGTTAGATATATGAAATGCTGCCCTACTTATTTTTTAAGAATTATTAAAAAAATGTGACTCTCAACTAGGGATTTATCGTTTTCACTTATTTGAATCTTGTTTTAAAAACGAAATGATCGTTTTTAGAAAAAATAAAAACAACACGAAAAACTATCACTTTTTCGATCGTATTGAAAACGATTAACAACACTACAGTCAAAAAGGATATTTGGATAGTTTTCATAAATCGTATTTATCCCTTTAAAACTGCAAACATCTGAGCAGCTTTCTTCATGTGCACAACAATGATGAAGCATAACAGCTGGCATAGACGACATTTCATGCGCTCTTGATATGTGAGATTTATAGGAAATGTTAGTTTTAATCTTCATCTTTCTATACCAAAAATTGTAATTGAATTTAGTTGAAATTAAAATATGTTTTTAAAATCTTTCATTTGTTTTAAAGGTCTACATCATGTTGCAAAGTGATATTGGTCAGACAATTTGAGCTTGAGGCGAGGGTTCTGATCCTTTACCTTACATAATGCTTGCTTTTGTTTTTTCAGTAGAGACATCTTTGAACAAGGGAAGATAGATCGAGGAAAAGAAACAAACAATCAAAAGTATTTGGAAACTAGATTTTTCATATTTTTAATTTTTTTTTTTAATTTTAAAAGTTTTAAATCAAATCTCCTATTTTCTAAATAGGATAATTTAATCATTAAAAGATTTGTCAAATTCTTTAGAGCCATAAAATGAAAAGAAAGAATCAGCAATTTTAGTTTTAAATCCAAGATGTTTTGTTATTGTTTTTTCTTTAATGTACTGCAGACGTTCAGAAATCCTTGATGGCAATCCCTCGGTCTCTTCATTCCACACAATCAGGGTAACCCAATCCATTTAATCCTTAATTAACACAATCCTCAATCCATACAATCAGGGTAAACCAATCCATTTAATCCTTAATCAACACAATCCTCAATCCATACAATCAGAGTAAACCAATCCATGTAATCCTTAATCAACACAATCCTCAATCCATACAATCAGATTAAACCAATCCATTTAATCCTTAATCAACAAAATCCTCAATCCATACAATCAGAGTAAACCAATCCATTTAATCCTTAATCAACACAATCCTCAATCCATACCATCAGAGTAAACCTATCCATTTAATCATTAATCAACACAATCCTCAATCCATACAATCAGGGTAACCCAATCCATTTAATCCTTAATCAACACAACCCTCAATCCATACAATCAGAGTAAACCAATCCATTTAATCTTTAATCAACAGAACTCAATCCACACAATCAGAGTAAACCTATCCATTTAATCATTAATCCATAATATCCTAAATCCATGCAATCAATGTAAACCAATCCATTTAATCCTTAATCAACACAATCCATAATCCATACAATAGGAGTAAACCAATCCATTTAATTCTTTTATCAATCAATCAATGTATAGATTAGAAAAATTTTTAGAAATTATTGTAAAAAGGTCAAATTTTCAATTGATAATTAAATAATTTATATGTAAATTTAATATATACAGGGGGATTATTAGGGAATATATACGCCCCTGGCTAGGGGGTCTAGGGTTCTCCTCCCCCTCCCCCCTCCCCGTACGCAAAGAAATGAAATGTTTAGAATCAACGTTTTATCTTTATCCTCCAACTAAATGTACAGACAAATACACAAATAGATTCAGCATCCTTATAAAAAGTTTCATTAATTCATTAGACAGGGTCGACTTTGAATTGTCACCTTGGGCTTTAATTTTACCGCTCGATCTAACACACTTATGCTTTTCTATAGCCCTTTACATGGGTCTAGTTATTAAATAACGACAACGGAAAATAAAGTAAAAATTATACAGTATAATTTAATTAGATGGTTAGGAACATATTTCTCAAAAGAAATTTTTCATTAAATCAATGCTAGAATCAATTATTTCGTTTTCATTATTTTATCGAATTTCTTGTTTTCTTTGAATTTGTTCGCAGATTTCTTTAAATTCTTCAAATGTCGTCTTTTCAATAATAATTCTAGAAAATCTGAACTTTGAATTGTCACCTTGGGCTTTAATTTTACCGCTCGATCTAACACACTTATGCTTTTCTATAGCCCTTTACATGGGTCTAGTTGCCGAACATCGCGGCTAGAACAGGCTGGGGGCCAAGCGCTGCTGCTAGAACGGACTTGGGAAGTTGCAACTTGGGAAATTGCACATTTGGGAAGTTGCCTCTCGGGAAAATAACATGGGGAAGTACACAATTCGGGTACTTTTTTCTCATGTCGTTTTTGAGTTAAAAACAATGAATTTCCCGAAATATTTTATAGACTATGACTTCTTTAAATTTTTTTTTATCATGAACATGTGTGCTATTTATGTTGTAATATGAAATTATCAAATATTATCAATTTCCGAAAATATTTTGATTAGAAATATTTGTAGAAGCCACATATTTTCATAAAAAATAATGTTAGCTTAAGTTGATGGACTGCAATTGGTACATTGGTTAGTCCGATTCACAATGGCATACGCTTGGAATGATCAAGTAAGAACTGGATATCCATGTGCAGTGTGACTTTAAAACTGATTAATTTTAATTGAGGTTTTTCAACAAAAGTGCCTCGTGCAATGCATTACTTGCTTCACAAACTGCAATAAAAAAAATTAACATATTTCTAGCCAAAAAACGTTATCTTGCACAAAACTGATCAGCTAGATATCAAGGGTTCCTTTGTGAACTGGGCCAGACCACTTTCATTGATGACACACTTTGCATTTTAATGACATTTATCGCATAAAAGAGGATTATAATCTTAAAAGGAGTGACCAGCTATGTAAGGTAGTTGAACTTCGAGTATGCCGTGTTGTGGAAAACTTCTTTCGGATTATTTTGAAACATATTAAACTATCTAAAGATCTGTAAATCCTGAGTTTGAGCGCAAATTCGACGTTCAAAACTCCTACTTTGGGTGTGGATACGTTTTCAAAATTAATTTTTTTTAAATTATTAAATAACGACAACGGAAAATAAAGTAAAAGTTATACAGTATAATTTAATTAGATGGTTAGGAACATATTTATCAAAAGAAATTTGTCATTAAATCAATGCTAGAATCAATTATTTCGTTTTCATTATTTTCTCGAATTTCTTGTTTTCTTTGAATTTGTTCACAGATTTCCTGAAATTCTTCAAATGTCGTCTTTTCAATAATAATTCTAGAAAATCTGCAGAAAATCGTGACTAATGAGAAACCAGAATAATGAGAAAATATAAACTAATAATTTAACAAGATTATTTAAAATGTTCCTATTCATGACGTCTGTAGTTTATTGTAGAACTTTTTACATTTTATGTCGTCGTTATTCAATAATTTAAAAAAAACTAATTCTGAAAACGTATCCACCCCCAAAGTAGGAGTTTTGAACGTCGAATGTGCGCTCAAACTCAGGATTTACAGATCTTTAAAAAGTTTAATATGTCTCAAATGAATCCGAAAGAAGTTTTCCACAACACTGCATACTCAGTTCAACTATCTTACATAGCCGGTCACTCCCTTTAAAACAAAATTCATGTTTTTTGTGTTTCTTGAATAGGTTCTTTTTCCTTATAGTTGTCTACTGTTTTGTTTACTGTTCAATGCAAGGATGTATAATAAAGTTGGTTACTTTGTTCGATGCGCTCCATATGTACGGGAAATGTCGTCTTCTTAGATAAATAGATGGAGCGCATCGAACCGAGTAGTCAACCTTATTATATATCCTTGCATGGAGCAGTTAACAACTGTAGTGAATAAATAAATACTGTTGGGAAAAAGAATCTATTTAAAAACATATCTTTCTTAGGAAAAATTAATCATAATGGTTTAAATGGTAAATTTGTTACATTCATTTTCCAACGATTTAATTTTCAATCTTTAATTTTCAAATTAAAGTTAATTAATCGTTAAATCAAAATTAAAATTAAAATTAAAACGTTTTGAATTTTCAACTAATTTGTAACTTTAAAATACTTGGCTTTTAGGGCGCTTCGTGCCCATCTTCCATTTCAATTGTGAACGTGTTCTCATTGTAAACATTGAAAAACAAAGAAAAAAAGAGGTTTGCGAATTTTATGAAAAAAATCGCGGATTTTCAAGATTTTTAAATCTTTTACAAAAAAATAAAAAAACTTTTAAGTTTTTTTTTTAAATTTTGATCGATCATAAACCTTTCCTGGGGTCACATGATGTCCCACAAAAAATTTGGACCCGGATCGGTTCAGCTGTTTTGACGTTTATTGGATACAAACGGACAAGCCAAATTTATATACAGAAGAAGCTGTTCTCTTCAGTAAAACTAGAGGAGCGACAAGGTTGTACCAATCAAGGTTATAATGCAAGGAAGGTTATTTCATAGGTGTGCGCATCTTTTGTACTGCAGTGAACTGTCTCTGGGCGGTAATGTAAACACAAGACGGATTTCAAAGCCTGACATGGGATCCATCTTTCACATCAAAAAATCAATGAAATATTCTGGTCATAGGAAACTATTATGTGAATTATCAAAATTATCAAAGAATGTTTTGTTAAGGCGAGTCGTG